TTCCTAAAAGAATGGTTCTTTTTTTCATTGGGTCAGTTTTGGGTGTGGTCCAGAAATTTTCAGTAACCCCTTGTATATTTAAAATATAAACTTACTAGGGTGTGCATACAACTTGTACGAAAATGACTCAATACTTACATCGCCTGAAGTGTAGTTGTAACTGAATTTTGTTCTGTATATACAATATATAATGTTTAATTTATGTGATTAATAAGATGTAGAGGTGTGAGTAACATAACAATTAACAACACGAAAAATTTTACCGATAATTCGAGTTCAAATTCAAGCAGAGAGAATTTAGGTACACTTCACACTTTGAAAAAACATGAATACGTTTTCTCTCCCACATAATCTCCTTCATCATGGGTTATATAGTATAACGAGCACTCTAGTCTTAGTTGCTAATCATTTTAGTAAGGCCATTTTTAAATTTGAAAGCGGAATGTTGGGCATGTCGCTAGTCATTGCACCTCGATGAAACCACAGGAATAAAAAAGATATTGATTAAATGCATTGAAAAAAGTGGTTATGTTGACATAAAAAGTCATACTTAGCCTATATGAAGATTTATAAGAATGAAGTATGAATCTCAATCTGAAAATATAATGAAGTGAACAAACTATGTTCTTCAAATATTGTGTTTTTCCATGTTACATTTTTCATGGTTACAGACTATTTTCTACCTATCAAATAACGTTTCCATTTTAAATATCGAAGCCCTAATCATGAAAAGATTTTCACCCAGAAAAAAATATCTGCAAAAACTGTTTTAATGTTTATTTCGGCATGTATCTTAATTTCTCAAGTCTTTGAAGTTTTTATTAACCACTAAATCCGACAATATTTAGATAAACTGAGAAGGTTGTAGAAATAACTTGCCAATATACTTTTTCTTACTATTCCACATTTCACCCATGACTTTTATTAGATGCATTGGTGTTGCTAGTTCAAATTTCTAACTAAATATATTTCTATTAAAACTATATTTGTTTCTTACACGGGGAAACAGTGTAATTTCACAAAACCTGTTTTATAGTTTGTTATTCAATGAAAAAATTAATGAGAATATCACAAAAGTAATTTATCAGCCCAAGCGCCTGTTGTAGAGCAAATGTTAGTTTCTCAAAGTATTCTTAGTATTATCAGTTTTTCTCACTTTTTAGCTCTGTATCAAATTCAAATTAAGTTGGGAAATCCCCATATATGCCACTGGTATAGGGTTATCGGATTTGCCTCGTATAATATTGCTTTTATCTCTGGACCCCTCTTATTTTGATACTTTGTTTAAAATAAAAGTTCGGTCATGGCAACATAAAACACTCTTGGTAGAAAAATTCTTATATTGACGGCAAAATTTATCATTATAGGTTATGCATTGATCTTTTTTATACTTCTATTATACTTTCATGTTTATGTTGTTGTTTTTGAACGAAAACTGAAATAGTGGAAAAATGCTGAATTTCTCACCCAAATGTTTCACCTTTACTTCATGAAAAATCATTATTATTTCATTACAAATATTTATTTTTACATATTTTACAATTAAAGAAGCTAATATTTAAATGAAAAATATCTAAAATTTACATTTCTTTCTTCCCATATTGTTTAAATGAAAGAGCATAGATGTTAATCTTAAATAAAATCTTATAAATGATTTATATAACAAGGAAATAATTTATATCTTTTTATTCCAAATATGATATGTTAACAACCAAATTCAAACGAATTCCTTTATTTCTTTAGTATCATCACAAAACGTAACATATCTAATCGATTTTATTTATCCTGTTCAGCGAAAATCGATTCACAATTCTTCCACATTTAAGGCAATGTCTATCTCCGCTTACTGATTGTTTACTAGGAATCTTTTCTTTACAGCATAGTGATATATTCATTGATTTTAATTTTTAATTATTAAATTTTCGAAATATTTACACTTTTTCAATTATTTATTAAATTATATATAATATATATCTCGTACTTTATCAATTCCGCTTTTTTCAGTTACACTTAACCATGGACGGTCAATTATGCCATACAATTCAATAATGTTAAAACTATCGCTGTTAAGATGTGGTCGGTATTTGAAAATAATAATGTTTATCTCCTATTCTTCCAGGTTCAGTAACCTCTTGCTTCTTTGAAGCTTTATTGCCTTTCATAGGATGTAATGATTTTTAAAAAGTTATACGGTGTGCAGCATTATTTAAATTAAAAGTGAAATATGCCTATTAGTAGAAATACGGCTCAAAAAAGCATAGTCAAATTATTGCATTGAAAATGGCTAATATGAAGAATTGTGAGGAGATAAAACAGGTGAACAATTATTTTTTTATTTATAGAAAATATTTCAAGAGGAAAAAACAACCTCTCCAAATACAATTCCTGAAGGAAACTGTTCAGTTGTACTAGGTGAATCATTAAAACCGTGATGAACAGAATGAAGTGGAATGCACAAACAAGCGCGAGGAAGATGGCAAATGAACTGAATATTTCGGATAGGTTTAGGGTTAACCGTAACCCTAACCCCGCTAAGGAGGATTATGAAAGAGGATTTAGAGCTCAAACCATATAAGATTCAGTGATATCTGCTCTCAAGTGCCTTAAAATTTGGCAGAGTAAATAAATCTTTTGGAGGTGATGTGGCGTGTCACAGACAAAATCTTCATTTGGTCGAACGAGAATGTATTCATTGTGGAGGCTGTAGTCAACAATCAAAACGATTGGGTTTACCCCATTTCACCGTAAAATATTCCTGAAGATTTCAGAATACATTTCAAGCAACAGAAAGCAACTGGTGTTATGGTTTCGGCTACTGTTGCTTCCAATAGTTCGAAATAGCCCATGGTATTCATTGAAGAAGAAATGTAAGTGAATAGCAGAGCTTCCCAGCAAATGTTGGATAGAGGTGTATTGCCTAGCACATACTGGATTATTTAAGTGCTCATTAATCACTGAACCTGAAATATTAACCAGCTTATGTAAATTATTGAATATCCTATGCAGGAACTTAGCTGGCACGTGCTGGTCTATTCTAGTCTCCAAACTTTGAATAGTTCTACATATATGTTCTGGTATACACTAACATGACTGATGTTACATAAAGTGGGGATAGAACATCCTTACAAACAGATCTCAGAGTTGGAGGAAACCAGCAGCCGTGGATTCGCAGAAAATATCATGATTTCATAATTTGATAGATTTTCTTAGCAAATCTAGTATTAACCTCACCAATCGACGGAAGTAGTAAATAAATGGGTCACTTCTCAAGATTTATTAAATTGCGCCATCTTGGAATGAATGTCATATTGCAAAACATCCAGTGGGTAACCATTATCTACAAACACACTAATGACAAACTCTGTCTCCGAGTTTATCTCAGACTGTGAACAAATTTTCAAGTCTCAATGCACCAACGTCTTAATCAGGTTAAGTTTGTGAGGTTGTAAGACAAAACGAGGGCCAGCGAGTATAAGAACGAGTGAAGTTTGGCTTACGGTACACAGAGGTAAGAAAATAAGTATCCTACCTATACATCAAGACCTAAGCACCAAGACGTCAAGAAAAGGCAATGCCATCTTTTTCACATGAGAATTTTAGAGTTGGATGCAAATCATTAAGTAAACCATGGAATACATCTGACTGTTCCTCAATATCAAACACAAAACGTGTCATCTCCGCATCTGTAATAACATAATGGGTTTACTATACGAGCCACTTGTCTTAATCAGGTAAAGTGCCAGCTAAGTTCCGTCTTGAGAGATGTGATAATTTGAATAAGCTGGTTAATATTTTCAGTGATTGCTGATGTTCACTATATCATTTACCAAGGATTTCTTTACCATAAACTGCAGAGTAAACTGCAATTACCACTTGAAAATATTAGATACACTATACATTAGGTGTAGGCAACCTTCCCTCTGTATGGAGAATAAATGGCTATTTGGCTTGATTATATTTTTTTACCTCTGCTGTTTCTCTGGCTTTCTTAATTTATTATTTTCTGTAAACCTTGTGCAGACACTTTATACATTTTTCCTCGATTCGCTCCGAAGAGTGGTTGCCTTTTGTTTGTTGCTTTCTTGATTATTGTTTCTATTCGACTCTTTACGGCGATTTATTTTATTATAATTACTCTTCTTACCCATGTTAATTTTATTTTTTTATTGTTGTATATTGTTATATAAAATTCTAATATGTGTAGCATTAATAAAGCAATGTTTTAACATTATACTATTTTTGTTAGAATAATTATAAATGGAAAGTTGATAACTGGCATCACTCCATTTGAAAAATGTCGATGTTTTTTTTTTTTTTTGCTCTCCTGTGATGATAAACATTCTTAGTAAATACATCAAGAATGCAGAAAATTAGGCATGTTGAGGTAGAGAGCATCATTTATTGGGAATTGTTCAAGTAATTTGAATTCGCTCCTACAAATACTATATGTCTAAGGCAAATGTTACTCTTGAGAATAAAGATTGATATGTGAAAATGAATAAAGACACATTTTCCTTTCCATCGACTTGAATAAAGACATCTATTTATATTTACATGAACCCAATTCATATTTCTGGAATACAATTAGTACCATTCTTGGTGTGAAATTTAGAGCTAATGTTCTGCTTTCTCAAATATTTGTAAAAACGTTTCTGTATACGTAATTTTAAAATCCGTTATTAATTTTCCTAAATGTTCTTTTGATTTCGGAAATACTTTACACGAGTTACTATTATGAGTTAAGGCATCTATTTTATTTTTGAATTTCATGTTTAATTCTCACTTTTATTATTGATCGAACAATTCAACTTCTCTGGAATTTTAACCAATTAATATATTTTTTCTTCTATTATTGCAGAGTAAACATTTCATTCTACCGTGGCTGCAGATCAACAGAAGCGAAATATCGTTAAAAACAGCCGATTTCGTCGATTGATCCATTCACTTAACTTATCACAATGTCGAACATCAGTGAAAATTTATTTTCATCGTACCGGCAGATGTATCAAACTGTCGACCTCTATCTAACACCAACTTTGATTACTTTAGGCCTTGCTGGCAACATAATTGCCTTTCTTACATTCTACTGCACAAACCTGAAACGTATTCCGGCCTCGCATTCCATGATGGCGTTGGCCGTAGCAGACAATGGTTGCTTGTTCACAGTCTTGCTGATGGTCTGGTTACCGAAGCACAAACTAGACATTTATAACAAGGACATATTGTGCCAATTAATCCTCTTCTGCAATTTCGTCTGCATCTTCTTGTCGCCCTGGTATATTGTCTGTTTATTAATTGGTCAATACCTCGATCTCTTGCATCCCTCTTCAAAATGGCGGATTAAGACAACATTCCGCGCTCGCCTTATTGTTATCAGTTTAGCAATTTTTGCCATTGTTTCCTATCTGCATATGAGCTGGATGTTTGGTGTGTACGACACTGGCGTTTGTGCCATTTGGACGGAAAATGCGGACGCATATCAAATTTTAAGTATAGCCGATTGGATTGTGGTCGTGTTCCTGCCTAACATGCTTTTCATCCCTCTGCTTTTACGACTCTTCATTTTTCAGTGGTATGACTGTCAAGCCAGACGTTCACTTCGGGGTCTTCAGCCGAATCTACGACAGCACAACAACACCAATTCAGCCAGTGGTTCCCACTCCAATCAAAACAGCAGTCGAATTGGACATGGCAATCGCGGGGTATCTGCAGGTTACGGCTATGTCAGTGGAGGTAACAGTTTCAACAGTCATACAAATGAACACGGCAGTCCAGGTTACTATTATGAACCTGAATTGAACACTAACTTAATTGTCTGCGTAATCACTTTGGTCAGTATTTCCCTTTCGCTTCCGTCCAGCATCGATCGAGCCATATTGATTTTTGGCGACAAATCGGGGATCAACATACAAAGACGTTTCGCACATCAATACGCAATCATCGTATCTTACGGTAGTTACGCTAGCCGCTTCTTCATCTACTTTATTGTCTCGTCAACATTTCGCAACCATTTATTCGATCTTATTTGCCGAACTGTGAAGCGGATCGCCATGTTTTGTTGTCGAATAAGGTCCTCCCGACATGATATCTCTTTAAGTAACTTGCCCACAACAGAGGTGCACACAGCTACGGTCGATACGCAGACATGAGAGATTAACATTGAGATCAGTAACTATTCATTTTAATCCAGACAAAAGCCGTCCAATAATTTTATTTTCACGGCTGGTTCTATCCCATCTTGTCTTCATACGATAATTTGGTGGATGATATCGGAGATGATTCTGATGCTTAATTTTTTATTTATTTATAGTTTCTTTCTTTCGTGACAGTCAGTTTCTTAGATTCTTTAGTTTCTCTTGAAGAGAATAGTTTGTTTAATACCCCACAGGTCTGAGCTGATTAGTATTTTGATGCTGACTGGTTCTGAAAGTGGACCTGCAGCAAATAAAACAAGCTATGTCTTCTGGGAAATATCAATTACTAAAAGTTTGAATAAATAAAATTCTTAAATCGAGCTGAAATAAGTTTCTCAGTGTTTTAGTGCTTTCCCATTTTTAACAAAATCAAAATCAATTTGTATTGCGTTGACAAAACAACTTGACTCTCTAAACATAAAACCATTTCCATGATCCTTTTTTCAAATAGGATTAATGGACAGGTGATTGCTTAAACTGAGAGTATATATTAGAGTAGGGCTTCATCCGCAATTATAAAATATTGATACAATTATGCCAGCCGCCACTATTATTATTATTATTATTATTATTATTATTATTATTATTATTATTATTGTCGTTGTTTTTGTTTTTATTGGAATGGTTTGGCGGTGGTTACTATTATTATCCATACCTCTGTTATAGCCCTACAACATTTATTCCGTTTAAATAAAACCAGAAAATCTAAAATACAAAATTCCAAACCGTAATTATTGATGCCACATTAGATATATAGATAAATGTACTCAAGCCGCCCAACTAACTCAAATTCAGTATTTCAATGAATGAAAAAATATCAGAATTTTGGGAGGCTGTTCCAGCCGAGACTTTTCTACACCTTCTCATATATAGGTATATTTACATGCTGATAAACACACACATACAAAGAAACACGCACGTACACGTAAGCATACGCACAAAAAGATAGATAGATAGATAGATAGATAGATAGATAGATAGACTACAAGTTTCAACAATTCCTTATCCTTCCAAACATTTTGCAAGTGTTAATGGAACTTTCCAAAGTGCTTCAACGTCGATGGATACAACTATCACGTATCAAGCTTTTCGCTTTCTTTCAGTTTTACTTAATAACGGATGTTTAGCATATTTTACTCTTGTGCACGGTGAGTAGAGATTATCTTGCACCATTGACTTTCCATATTCCATAAACTTTTCTGTTTCTCAATTTATATTAAATATTCTTGTTTATGTATCCAGCATTGGTTTGCATGGACAGTTGCTACTCAGCACAAATCTCATTGGATAATTACTTGTCTCCAATTAGATTAATTTTTATACATTTTCTGCATTAACTTTTTCTATGACTAACATTCTCATTTATACCTTAGAATAAATCATCATTTTACAGGGGTGGAGGGAACTGATAGATACAACCGTAAATTTTATTCTAACAGTTTCTTCTGTCGCTTTTCTTGCTTGTAGAACTCTCTTCCTCCTTTTTGTTTTCCAGACAGCATTGATCTACAAAAGCTTAAATGAAGTGTCAAAAGTTATCTTCTACCGTTTTAATCCATGTTCCTTTCATTGTTTTCTCTCGGTAATAGTGTTTATTCTCATGTTATGTCAAACTCAGAAATCCCGTGCGTAATGATTACAGAAAAAACATTGTCCAAATTTAATTCTTTGCTTTTTGCTGTCTAATTTGGCTTTAAATCATTTTGTTCTTAGCTAAATAGTTCAACTCTAAAAATATCTCCTGTTTACGTCTTTTGAGCTCGTCTCCATGAATGCGTTTACAGTTGCATTTCTACCTATTTTAGCGTCGTGTTTATCTGATTCAAGTGTTTAAATCTGTCAATAAAAATCTTCCATTGCACTACCATATACAGTTCTCATTGTATTTTACAGTCTAGCAAAAGAATAATATCGAAGCAGCAAAGTTTTATGCATGGATAATGATTCCAAACAGCGGATGGAGCTTCCAGTTTTCAAAAATAATTTTCTTTTATTTGTTTAGGTTAATTTATTTGTTTTTCCTGAAAAACAAATAAATTAACCCAAACAAATAAACAAACAAGCCACCTCCGCAAAAATAACCGAGCAGAATAGATTACCTACATTGCATCACTGACCCATTTATATAAATAGTCGAGGAAAAATCCAACATTCACGGCCTCACGATTGCGCCTAGCACAAAACAGCCTGTCGCCTCTGAATGTTGACTTTAATGTTCACTTTTATATTTACGTTTACATAGGCTCTATCTCTGATATTGAGCACTATCCCATAAATATAGCATACCTTAAAACAATATTTCTTCATATTCAGCTCCTGATAAACAGTAGAACACTTTCGCTACATTTATAACACATTATGGATCTTGAAAAATTTAGCCTCCACTACTCTCTAAAAACATACCCATCCCACCTCCATCCACATATAAGCTAAAATTAATTGAAAAAACAGAAAGCTTCATAAAAAGAGTAAGATGGAAAGCCCATTTCTTTTTTTACCAGGACCTGCACAATAACACGACACTCAAGGAAAAATACAGCTTTAGAACCAAAAATGCCTCCCGAAACAAAAAGAATTAGACGATTTCGAGAAAGACTTAACTGACCTTGTTAGAAACATAAAATTCAATAAAAAAACAAGACGCATTCCAAAAAAAAAAAAGCTAAAAGAATATATAGAATATATAACTAAAATAAACAATTCAACAAATGTATTTATCGCAGCGGACAAAACAAGAATTTTATATGAACTAAGCCTTCCCATACACAACAAATTACTCAAATGCAACATAACCAAAACATACAAAAAAGCACCAAAAACAATAGAACACGATATCAATAAGGAATCTAAAGCAATCACGCAAAAATTAGACCTAGACGACCGAGGGTTAGGGTTAGGGTTAGGGTTAATAGGAAATATGAATGGTGAAGAAAGAAAGACTACTTTAAGGTCTAGATTTGAAACTTGACATTTATGTCGAAGTTTTATGTGGTTCTACTATTATATCTGTTGTAATTAAATACTGCTTTTGCCAGACACTCTACATACATACATATATATATATATATATATATATATATATATATATATATATATATATATATTATACATACATACATACACATACATACACACACACACACACACACATATATATATATATATATATATATATATATATATATATATATTTTTTTTTTTTTCGTCACACAGTTATTAAAATTTTTACGCATCCGAATTTTGTGATGGAGTTAAGTGTACTTCTGTTTTGGTTTGTGTATTTTTATGTCAGTATTTGCACAGAATAGTATGTTTCGTTATCCTGATTTCTTCATTTTTTGTAGAATATATATGATTTAAATTACTAAAGATGCTTTCAATTTAAACGATAAGCTTCTCAATGTAAGCCACTAGTATAAGAATTTTTTAAACTTTTGTTATCTACACTATTCATTAACATACCTACTATTGATGTTGAACCACGTCCTAAATCTCCGCCCACAAAGTCAAGCCATGAAGATAGTTGACACCAAGAGATATAGACTGCATTAGACAATTAACGAACTTCATGAATCTGTATTAAACTTTAAGATGCATATATAAATTACGTTAGCGTTTCCGAAACCTGAACTATTCGAGCGTCTCCAAATTATATATGCAATTCGTTTATAAATAACATGTATGAATGTTACCTGAAAACTAATTGAATGACTTCTGAATATTCAGAAGAGCTCGCAAAAGTTTTCATTTTTTAACTAAATAACATTTCTCCAATCGAAAAGATTTATCTAAAACGGTTTAAGATAACTGGAGCTTATTTGGACATTTATTATTTATGTTCAAATGCTTTAATTAACATTCTCTTAATATGCAAGACTGTTAACGTATGTGTGACTCAGTCTGCCCATATACAATACTTGATATATAAATGCATACGTATATATATATATATATATATATATATATATATATATATATATATATATATATATATATGATTGTGTGTTTTGTGCGTTTGAAACTTTTATTGCAAAAATACAGAATGCCAAAATTATATACGATATAACAAAAAAACGTTTCCTCTAAAATGTCAGGTTTGGTCATTTATTTGGATTTTCGAAGGTTGACTGGGCAGATAAATTTACAGTGTGCGTGTCTGTTTTTGTGTATGTGTGTATTAATGTAATATATCACTTGTGACACTCGTTGAAAAATCTTTAAACGTTTTACGCAATGTTTTTTGAAATTTCGTTTGCTTCTTTAGGCATTTCAAGCTTAACTATTTTGCTTCTGTGTATATTTTCTTTTTCTTTCCTTTTATTCCTTTTATGCATAGAAAACACTTTCGAAGCCAGAAATTAATACAGAGGAAAGCTGGATCCTATATGTAAAGTAAATTTTATTCGAAAAAAATATTTTTTAATTTCCTTTTTACATTTTTATTTATTTATAAACTAAAAGAGAAATCTATGATCGATGTACGAACAGAAAATTATGAAATATTGTCTTTTTTATATTTGACTTGCAAGTGGGGAATATCACTCAAAATATCGTACCTTGTCCCATATTTGACGACTGCAGAGCAGAGAACGTGTAGCATTTGACAGACTTTAGATTATTTGATGAGTCTCATTTTATTATTGACAATTTTAAATAATATATATGTGTGTATATATATACATATATGTATAAATCTCTCTCTCTATATATATATATGTATAGACATATATATATATATATATATATATATATATATATATATATATATATATATATACATTATTTGTGTATATTCTAAATGTGCTTCATGGTTTATATTTATTAATTATTGTATATCAATGAAATAATTTTACCTATCTCTGTAAGCATAAACCTGAATACTTACTTTTCTACAAATTTGCTTACTTTCTATTCCTGCCCAATACCAGAATACGCACAAAATAATGAAAAGTTAC